ATCTAAAATGATTGATATAACAATAGGATAGGATCGTGAAGGGAGTTTAGTGATAGCTAAAGAATGATAGGATAGTGAAGAAAGAAGTGATGAAGGAGGGAGCGAAGGAGGAATGGGTTTTTGAAGCTTCTTACACTTATTCAACTTTAAACCGAAAAAGAAAATTCAATTAGTTGTATATAGCTTAATAATAATTAATATAATTCTTTAAGTTATGATATATATTATATGTATTAATGACTTCTGTCTTCCTTTCACCAAGTCAAAATGATCTACATAATGACATCATTCTTTATGCACTAGCAAAATTATACGTTATAAATAAGACATTATATCCAAAGTTTATGATTAAAAAAAAGATAAATTCAATCATTAATATATCATAAAATATATTAGAGAGTTTAGCACCCTTATATTCTAATCAAGTAATATGCATAACTAATTAAATCAAAATCAAATATGTGATCGAGTGTAACTCGAGTGTGATCCAAGCGTAACCCTAGTGTAACATAAGCGTAAATAGAAAAATTATCTCTCAAGCTATCCAAACTTCTCAAAAACTATCATACCGTAATTCTAAAATATTTGATATCTTATATATTTTTTTAAAATTTTGAGTCATTAATTGATGAAATAAGATATTCCTACATTGAATCTATGATCCCCAAACCTAACTAAGCTTCTTCAAACTATAATAACATGTTTCTAATCGCTATTATATTATTTTTTTGGGTTATTAATTGGCAAAATAGAGGATTCATACATTGAATGTGTGATCTAGACTCAAGTATAAATATTTTTAATTATCCCCAAACCTGTTTAAACCTTTTCAAAATTATAATAACATATTTCTAACAGTTATTATATTATTTTTTTATTTTTTGGATCACTAATTGGTAAAATAGAAAATTCTTACAATGAATCTATGATGCAACTCAAGTTTAAATATCTTTGATTATCCCCAAATCTACTTAGATTTCTCGAAAAATATAATATCATGTTCTAACATGTTTTATATTATTTTTTATATTTTTTTATTATTTTAGAGTCAATAAGTGCTCAAATAATTTTTCTTCAAAAGTACATGACTCTTTTTCTTGTTATTCAATTCATTATTTTCTTTATAGCTATTGTGTCATTTCTTTTGGATTGTTGAAAATCTTATCATATCTCCACCAAATGTCGATCAATCTATCGTAGTTGGATTTGTAGGGAATCTTCAGTTGAATCCGTCGATTAAGTCTTGAATTCAGACATGGTAGAGTAGTGGTATAGTCTGTTGAATTCCACGATTAGGAAGCAAAGTACCTCCTCAATGGGTGGTTCAATAAGTCAAGTGCTCTTGGGATATCGACACCATATTGGGTGAGGGAACCTCGATGGGTATCGACGCTAGAGACGATTGAGCTAGTGATAGTGGCTTATTAGATCCTAAGTTTCCATACATATAATATTTCTAAAGGTATTAAATGCTTAATTAAATATCAATTATTATAAATTATATAACATGATATATAATAGTGTTTTATGTATATCAATTATTGGATCCTCTTCTACTTCCTTCTCCTCCTCTAGTTTAATTGATTCAATCATTTGATCAGTTTTATACATAAAACATAATTCACTCATAATTTTATCTAAATTTCCCATGAGCAGATATAGCAGGTTATCCTATTTGGGGTTATTAAAAATATGAGAAAATTTTTCATGTAAAAGAATTTTCATAGTATTTTATAGATTGTTTTAAAAATTTTAAAAACAAAAATTTGAGAGACATAAATTTAAAATTTACTGTAACCCTCACTTCATGGGTGACTGTACTCTCCCACTAAGAGAGAAACAAATATTGGCTGTTGAGTTGTTAGGGCCTCCTTTAACGGGAAAAGAGCCCTCCAAAAATTGGCGTATGCTGCTTTATGTGACGAGCACACGGTATTCTTTAGTAAAAGGCGAAAGAATAGTTCGCTTTGTGCTCACCACGCAGCTGCGTGACTTCTCTAAGGCGAGGCCAGCCTCTTCATATACCATATTGGCTCCATCTACAGGTGTACTCAAGCCATGTGGGACTAAAGTACTTCTTGCCTCTTCTTCTTACTCGTACTCATCCGTGCACCAAATCAGCATCTCCTTCCCACTCATCTGCAAACCCAAACTCCCAAAAAAATTTTACATATTATATTATGAGTAAATTCTAAAAAATCTTAATTTTAAAGAATTCTAGCGTAACATCTTTTCTTTCATAAAAGATGATTTTATCTATGTGCCTTCATCCTCGTTCACCCTTGGTCACTTCCAACTATACCTCTAACAACCTTCACATGCGGGCCTCTCACTCTCTGCTCCTCATCTCTATCATTATTGTTATTGTCCTAGGCGAAAGGGATTATAGTTGAAGACGATGATGATGATAGAGAAAGAGAGAAGAAGAAGCTAGGATGATAATGCAAGGTGGAAACGACTATGCACAGAGGGTGAGGGGGTCGCATGAGGAGGTGACCAAGGACCCATGTATGATGGCAACCAATGGCATACATGTAGAGGCATAGGCAACTAGGTGCGAAGGTAGTTCTCAACGGTCTTCCTCCGCCCTATTTGATTGTCGTGGACATAATAACAAGAAAAGGAAGCCTGAATGCCCTCTTTATCAATGATACCATCACATCGAGACTAGATTGGGGCATGTTACCAAACAGGGGAGAGGAGGCAAGGGTGATGGTGTGGGACGGAGGTGGTGGTTGACACAACATGAGGGTTAGTGGGGCAAAGGTAGAAGCAACCAAGGGTGGAGGCGTAAGTGGGGCCAAGGGTAAGGCTAAAAGTTAGTATGACAAAGATAGAAGCAAAATCATCTTTTATATGAAAGAACAGATGTTCTACGAGAACATTTGAAAATAGGAGTAACTTGTAATATTTTTTTAAAATTAAAAGTTTTTTTTCAAGAATTTATGTTAAAAGTATTATAAAAAAATTAAAGATGATTACTATATTTTTTTGGACTATCGAAAATACCAAACTCCGATGAGAAGAGATTTTATTCTTTACCTTGATGACTTTTTTTTATGTATCTCTCAAGTAAGAAATTTTGGCATTTTGTCATCTCTATAATTTAGTTTATTATATTCATCATTTTTAAACTTGGATACTTGGCATATATGCTATTGCAAAATTATCTTCTTTAGTTACTGCTGAAATAGAAATATTAAAAATCATATTGACATCAAATTTCCTTCAATTAGTCATGATAGTGAAAATTATTAAGTGCATATTGAGTATTTTTAAAATATTTATAATTTCACTTAAATTCACTATTATTAATTATAATTAATAGTTATGCATGTATAAATGCATGCATGTATGTCACAAGCCCTAGAATCGAGGTTATTCAACAAGATATACTGAAAATTTTGTTTATGATTTATTTTTCTGCTTAAGTTAGGGTGTAAATAGGAGCATTCCATATATATGATACGACTTGAGAATCATAAGTAAGGAACTTTTTATAATTGAGTCTTTGATAAGGCGCTTAGCCAACACCTTTGAGAGTAAGTGGTGTAGTTCATTAGAAATTATTAATAATTAATTAGTTTTGGGGAGACTCATTAAATTAGTAGACATTATAGTTACTACTCAGATGGTTTACTTAAATAGCACATGTGAGAAGCTCGATTGATGTGTTGGGGCGATCGGGTGCTTAAGGTTGTATCGAGTCATACTGATATGAGTGTGATGCTTGATCGACTTATCGAACTAACATGGAACTCAATCGAATATGATGTGTTACTAAATCATCAACATGTTATACCTCCTTAACAAGCTAATATCTTCAATAATTATATTAAGATTTTAAACACTCCTCTAATAAATTGATCGCTATATATATATATATTAAGAGATAGGATGAGCAAATTCTTGAAACAAAAAATTATCTTTAAGAAATTCTTATAAAGCATCTCAACTTTCTAAAATTTTCATAAAGTATTTTTTATAAATAATAATTTTCTCTGGCCACCATCGAATCTATCGTTTCATCCTTATCATCCTTATTATTATTATTATTATCATTTATAACCCTTGCAAAGGGACGAAGGGGTGCAAGGGCCATTGTCCTTGCTTTTGTCGTGTTCACTTGTGGCCCTCATGTGAGGAAGGAGGGGGAACAAAGATGGGTTTGCAGAGGCAATGATGACCCTCGTGCGATGGCCGCAAGTGAGGATGACAAAGGTCGTTGTCGCCTTCACATCTTCTCCTTCCTCATGCGAGGGTGAGACAGGCAGAATCGGATCTGACATGGGCCGATGTGATCCACAAAGGTGATGATAGTTCAGATAGAATAAAAGAAAGGAGAGGTAACACAAGGGTGATGCAGACGGAATGGTGAGGGTGAAGGGAATAATTATCTATTTCACACAACAAAAAATGTTGTATATGAATTTATCCAATATAAGATTTTTTAAAAAAAATTCACCCACTTAATATTTATAAGGTTATATATATATATATATATATATACATGTATGTATATATATACATGTATATATATACCCATATAAATATT